GTGCAAGGTATTATGGAAACACAGAAAGGTATGAACAAAGCCCCTGTCCTCAGAGCTCATGTTGTAAAGGGGAGGGATGACATGTAAAAAACTGTACATAAAAGATATATGCAATGTAAATGGAAGGTAATTTCAAAAGGAAATGAAGGGGGTGGGTGGGAGGGAAACTCCAAAGGCCTCCTATAGAAGATGGGACTTCAGCTGAACCTTGAAGGAAGCCAGGCAGCTTCCTTTCTTAGATTATAAGCTCCTGAGGGCATGGACTGTCTTTTACCTCTTGTTGTATCCCCTGCACTTAGCGCAGTGCCTGGCATAGGCACTTTATAAATGTTTATTGCTTGATTTCTTGAGGAGGCAGAACTGAAGAGGAATAGGGGACAGCCCTGTTGTGAAAAGGTACTGAGTTGGGGGATGGGCTATTGTGTTAGAGGAGCAGAGGCCAGTGTCTCCAAACTTCATTGTTTCAGATCTACATGCCTATACTTTTAGAATTTTATTAAGATTAGTCCATTTCAAATTATACTTAAAAAAGTGACTAAAATGTCCATTCCCTTTGACTCAGAGATCCCATGACTAAGGAATATAGCTCAAAGGAAGTTACAAAGAAAGGTTCCACATTTTGCCCTCCATGTCTCTTGCCTCATCAGGATGTTCTGATAAGATTAACCTCAGGTGGGCATTAACCTTGAGGGCAATGACAGTTTTTTTTTTTTGCTTTTGTGTTCTCAGTGCCTGACACATAGTAGGCAATTACTAAATGCTGATGGATTGATTGATATATAGCCTTGCATAAATAGGTGCACATTAATTGGGAAACTGCAAAACAAATTGTTGTACAAGAAGATAATAGAATACAATTGTGTCATAAAAAATGAGTAGCAAGAATTCAAAGGACAGAAAGACTTGTATGAACTGATGCAAAGTGAAATGAGCAGAACCAGGTAAATAAGACACACATTGTAAATGGAAAGCAAAACAAAATGGAATGGAATGTCATGCAATTATAATGACTAAGCTTGAGGAAATTCTCCTTTCATTACAGAGGTGGGGCATTGGAGATATGGAGTATTGCATATGCTGTCAGATTAACTGTATGGGTGGGTTGTGTAGCACACCCTCTGTGCTCCTTTCTTAAATCTGTGCCTCCACTCATAGGTTTGGTCCCCAGAGGGGCTGCTGCTACTTCAAGTTCTAGTAGTAATGGTGGGTGGTTACATCTACTACTATAGTTCACAAACCCTTGCCAGTATGCTTCCAACACGAACAGTAATCCAAGAGACCCAATGAGCCATTATCAAAAGCATTTACTCAAAGGGAATAGCAAGAATAAGTGGAGGACGTAAACTGAGAAATCAAAGAAAGAGAGCTATGGGCTTCTGTAAATAGAGGTCTCTACTACTGTTAAGATTTCCTGTCCCACCAGGATATTCTGTTAAGATGAACATCAGAGAAAGGCATTATCACACTGGAATGAATCTGATCTTGGCAACTCTTGAAACTCCAAACTTAGCACGTCCTTCCCCCTCCCCAAATCGCCTGATATCCGGTCCCTATTATTTAACCTCCCAAATAAGGCAAGTGGCTGAGCATCCTCACCTTATGGGCTCCTTCTGCTCTTGTCAATGTCACCCTAAGGCTGGGTAAAACCCATATGTGCCTACATATGTGTGTATCTCTCTTTGTTCCGGAAGTTGCTATCTACCTGGCAACTGCTAAATTAAACTTTTTATCTTCTAGCCTTGCATTCTGATTTATTGACCTCTGGCCAAATGAACCAAGGAGGATCTTAGGACTTCTGGCTTGAGCAATTTCCCAACAAATAATTGCTACAGGGCATTGACTCTCCTACAAATACACACAGAATGGGGAGGGGAAAAAGAGTGGGGAGGGTAGAGGTGAATTGTGGGGAGGAATGATACCAGGCATAAAGTTAAAGGTAGTGAGGCACACACATGGAGAACACATGTGGTCAAGGCAATTTACAACTCTGGAACTGTGGGTTGTTAAGGATTTAATGTTGTTCTTTCTCCAGAGAATCACATTGTCTTTGCTAGATGGTATGACCCTCAGCCAGGAAAATTACTTTGCTTCTGGGTTTATTGTTCCATGATTTTTAGGTTGAGGCTCAGCTTTCACCCTTAGTGCAAGTACTACTTTGCTTTTACAGAAATATCATTAGCCTAGCATAGGCTGAAACCTCTCTCTATGACCTTGGCTCTGAGATTTGATAAATGTCAGTCAAGAAAAAGAGAGGGAAAAAAATGTATGTTTAGAGTCTTTTTTGGACGAGTCTTTATTGGTTCAGCCTGGGCCCCCTTCAGGGAGAGATGTCACATTAACAGATGGTGACTCTACAGTATGTTTCCTGAATATTCACCTCTGCAGGCTAGGCCATGACCAGGCAGCAGATATTTGCCCAATAATCCACCAAACAGCTCTGGGGTTCAAGGTTCCCCAGCTTTTTAAGACTAATATTCTGTGGTTCTGTACGAATGAGTGTTGGGGAAAAGGTACAGAGACAGTTGTGCTCTGGGGGCAAATTCACTGTCTCTGGAAGCCTCCACATAACATTACAAGCTGTGGAATAACTCAGTCATCTTTGATAGGACCTTATCCTCACATCTAATAATCTCTGGCCTTGCCCCTTCTCCTAAGAATCTGCTGGTGTCCAAAAAGGGCACACCAGTTGGTTTTTTTGCTTCTATTTCTTACTGTTATAAGGAAAGACTCCCTTGGCAGGGGAAGAGGGAGGGACACTTTTAGAAAGTAATGTCATAAAAATGAAAAGCAACAATTGAAAATAAATAACAGGGAAAAAAGTGTGTCCATTTCAACCAGAAAGAATAGTTTTTCTTACGAGGACAGCTAGATGGCTCAGTGGATAGTGCTCCAGCCTTGGAGTCAGGAGGACCTGAGTTCAACTCCAACCAAAGACACTTGACATAGCTATGTGACCTTGGGCAAGTCACTTAACCCTGACTGTCTCAACAACAACAAAACTGAAAAAAGAATAGTTAAATGGTTAATAAAGACAGAAAGGCTTTAAGTTTCCAATGCACAGAAAAGCTTGCAACTAATAACACATACAACATAAATAGATGTTTTATTTTTGATTCTCCATAAGGGTATGTTAGGTTTTTCTGTTTGCCCTGTTGTAACTCCTTTTAGATGATAAAATAGAAAGCAGGAGTTGCTTTCTCTAACGCTCCTCTCAGTGCTCTTTAAAAGAGATAAAAACCAAACGAACAAACAAACCAGATATTGCCTGTACAGACTATTTTCCTTGTGCTCCTGCCTTTGTCTATACTGCTGGAGAAAGTTGACCTGTGTTTGAGGAAGAATGCAGCTGCCTCTCCAACTTCCAAGGAGAGTGGCAGGCAACCTTGACTGTCTCCCACATTGTGTCTGAAGCATATGGCTCACACTTCAATCAACGGTAAACATATCTGCACAGCAGGTAGCTGTTGGAGCATTTGATAGTACACGAACTGAGATCCTACACTCGTCAAAAGCTTTCTTCAGAAATACAGCATTTCAGAACTAGAAGGGATCAAGAAGGTCCTGAACCAGAATCCATCAAACCTCCCAAGCGATCCTGCCTCTGCTTTAAAACCTGCAGGGAACGGACCCCACATTCCCCCACACAGGGCTTTCCATTTGGATAGCTCTCTTTGTTAGCAAGCTTTGCCAAAATTTGCTTCTTTGAAACTTCTGACTCATTTCTCCTAGTTCTGCACTCTGGGGCCAAGCAGAAATCGTCTTCCACATGAATTACCTTCAAATATTTGTACAAAGGTAACACGACCCCACTGAACTGTTTGTTCTCTTCTCCAGGCTCAATGCCGCTATGTCTTTCAAGGAATCTACCCATAGTATGTGTAGTTTCCGGTAGGGAAGACAGGCGAAAAGGTTAAAGTAGTCATTTATCACACTATCCCACCATGAGCCAGGCACTGTGCTAAGCTGTGACAAGGTTGAGAAAGTCCCTGCCCTCAAGGAGTTTGCATTCTAATGGGGGGAAATGAACATGTAAATAACTAGGTACATACTCCAGATAGTCAAAAGTAGATGGAATAGAAGTCGCAGAGGGGATGGCACCAGCAGCTGGGGTTGAGAGAGAGGGAAGAGGGGAAAACCAGGAAACTACTTACTGATTTACCTTCTACAGGTTTCTATTCCTTTATTCGTTTACATGGGACACCAAAAAACCCAAACCCTTTGGACTAATCTAACTTTCAGAAATGTCTTTATTGAATTATATTTAATTGTAAAGGTGAATCAGGGAAGTCCCTGATAAGGGCTCTTACCTGTTTTGTTTTTGTTATGGACCCCTTTGACAGTTTGTGAAATCTCTGAATTCTCAGAATAATATTTTTAAATAATTGAAGGAAATGCTAAATATCATTTGGAAGTTAGGGAAAATAGGGATATAATTTCTTTCCCATCCATCTGTAAAATCTATTCACGGACCTCAGGTTAGAACTTATATGCTAAAAGTCATCACGTTAGAACCTTTTAAACACTTTCTTAATCTTTTGCAAAAAGAGGCATAACACAAATGTGTGTACATACATATACTCACACATGTGTGCATGTATGCGAGTTTGCATACATATCTATATCTATCCACATCTATCTTGCTATCTCTTGCAATCTATCTCTCTTTCTGTCTCTCCTACGAGTTCTTGTCTAATAGGCATTAAGTGACGCAGGGGACTCTAGCGCCCCTGCAACCCATCACCTCGTTTACCGAAGCTGCCAGATAGCTGTCTTGCAAGAACATAACAACTCCTGCTGTAGCACATGGACTCACACTATCTTATCCTTAGATCTTGAACTGTGTTTTAATTTGTACACTCCCTCAAGTCCTTTCTAGAAGCAAATTCTTAGGCGAAGCGGCAAGGCCAGAGATTATTAGATGCTAAAGGTTTTTTTCCCCGATGATTATCAAATTTACGTTCTGAGAGCGAAATCAATAGTTTCAATTGCCCTGAACGTACCTGCAGGATGGAAGAGAGATTAACCCAGCTTTCCAAAGACTTTCTAGGAAGGACGTTGCAATTCGGCCTTTGCAATGCCAGGACACGGCTGGGCAGGGCTGCTTGTGACTGAAGGGAATAAAGACAGCGCATGGGGCGGATCCTCTCCTTTATGGAGGGTTTCAGCTGAAACACGTTGCAAGAATTCTGCAGAAAATGAAAACGTGCTCACTAAACTCCACCAGTGAAATCACAGAGGAGGAGACTATTGAATGTAAACTACAACCCTCACAATTTATGAAACTCATGAAAAGGGAATTGAAGATATACAATCCATAATTTTTTAAACACATACGCACTTTCAAAAACGTTTGTTATTGCTTGTTTCCGCCCGGTTTCGAACCGGGGACCTTTCGCGTGTTAGGCGAACGTGATAACCACTACACTACGGAAACTGTGCTGTAATCTGGTGTCACTCTAGCCTTATTTATATGCAATGCAACAGTGGGGACAGGCTGGGAGAGGGCAGGAGGGGAAGACGAGATGATTTAATGAATACATGTGCGACTGTATTTCTCTGGCCCACGGACAGTGAAGGTCACTCTGAGAACGCTGGCTTGCCCGCGAGACAAGGCACACGCAGGACTGCGGAGCAGAGGCCGCCTCCCCAGCCCAAGGTCCTGCGGCGGCCGGCACGTGCTCCGCCCCAGAAACCTCCAGGGAACCGTTAATCGGGACCTCCTTCGGCTTTATACGACTATGTGAGACAAAAAGCAGGCCCGGCTTTCGCAAGCAGAAAGCACCAGCGGATGAGTCTCATGACGTCTATTGTGAGAAAGCTCCGCCACCCAGACACGCACGACCCAAAGCTCGGTGGCGCGTGCTAATGAACGGAGAAAGCACATCCAAATAGGAAAATTCTCCGCTGTTAGGATTTTCACTGCGGACGAAAACACTTCCCAAACATACGTCCCTGGGTGGGCTCGAACCACCAACCTTTCGGTTAACAGCCGAACGCGCTAACCGATTGCGCTACAGAGACCCTGCATACAGTGGGTACGGCGCCGGGCATGTAGATTTGATCGGTGGGCAGCCGGGACCTGGCTGCCTGGCGCAGCGTCGCGTCGGGAAGCGGCACGGAAAACACGGACTGGTGGATGAAGGGAAGGGACCGCAGGGCCTGAAGAGGCGGGGGAGGGGCCTGGCGCGAGCCCGAGGACAGCCGCACCTGGGAGAGGAGCGAGCTTGTGCCTCCGCCGCCTAACCTCGTGCCAGGCACCTTGGCAAGCGCGTGGCCCTGCTCGCCAGGGGCTACGACTGTGCCCTGGGGCGGGGCGAGGGGATGTGTCCATGCAAACAGCTGCTTGGTATCATCTCCAACTGCTAATGGCAGCTGGTCTGCGGGTGAGGGCCAACAGTCTCTAGAACCCCCTTTATCCCCCTGCCATCACAATCACTCTTAATCACTTCTCTTTGCATTCTTTCCCTACGCACTGTGCTTCCTAGAAAGGCAACGGAATAGGGAACTCCCTGCTAGGAAACTACCCCCCCTTACAGATACGGGTCAGCACTTTCTCTGCGTCCGATTGTCTTAGGGAGTTTCCTAGACACGGCACTAGGAAGTTACATGACTTGCCCCGGACCTCACTGACAGTAAATGTCAGAAGCAGGATTTGAACCCAGGCTCCAAGGCCAACTCTGTCCTTGACGGGGAAAGTGTAGAGATTGGAAAATAGATTAATGAGGACCCAGCCGTCCAGTCCGTTCCTGTCCTCGTCTACTCTCTCCTTCATTCCCACTTTTGAAGGTGGGGAGGGGGGTTATAGGTTCTTACCTGCCTAGGAGTGTGTACCAGACATATAAGCTCAGGGACTTTGGTATAACTTCTGCTCTAAAAAGTATTGGAGAATGCAATCCTAGGAAGCTCTCAGGGCTTCCAGGCCTCTCTCTAGAGAAGTAGCTATGCAATGTTCCTCACATAGAAAATAGAGTTTGCCAACTACTAGGTGAATGGACTTCATTTCTTATTCTAGCACCATTGTAGACTGTATTTCTGCAACTAGAATGTAAACTCCTTCAAAGCAGGGTTGTTTCCCATTTTGTTTCCCTCATATATTCTCAGTGCCTAGAACAGTGCTTTCCAAAAAGTAGGTTCTTGATAGATGCTTGTTGAATTATTTTTAAAAGCATGGTAAGTCAACACTTTGAAAAGGTAGCATTGATCACAGGATAAGAGTGGTTTCATCAAGGACAAGTCGAGCTAAAGTAGCCATTATTCCCCTTCTTTCTTAGATAGTGGTACTGGGCTGGTAGACCAGCAGACTGCTGGAATAGTTGCCCTAGATCTTAGCAAAGCATTTGATTAGGCCTCATGTTATTTTCATGGAGAAGATGAATACAAATGGACTGGATTATAAATCCGTTCAGTTAGGTGGATTCACAGCTAGTTAAATGGTACTGACCCCAGATATTTGTACCTGGCCCTACTGTTGACCATTTTCATCTATGGCTTAGATAAAGGAATAGTTGGCATGCTTATCAGATCTGCTTGGGCCAGGTGTGGTGGTGCACACCTGTGATCCCAGCTACTGTGGAGGCTGAAGCTGGTGGATTTCTGAGCTATAGTGGGCTATGTAGATTAGGTTGTTGTTAAGTCACGTCTAACTCTTAGAAGCCCTGTTTAGGATTTTCTTGGCAAAGATACTGGAGTGTTTTACCTTTCCTTTTCCAGCTAATTTTACATATGAGAAATAGAGGCAAACAAGGTTAAATGACTTGTCTAGAGTCACATAGCTAGTACATGTCTGAGATCGGATTTGAACTTGGGTCCTCAAATATCTTTCCGTACTTTTACTTTGGTGAGACCCTAGACATGAGCCAAACTTAGGTTTAGATTTGTCCCAGGCCCAGCAGCAGTTGTTTATTATTACAGAAATATATAGTAGATTCAATAAGGGGTTGGAGTTTCTAATAGGTGAAGGCCCAAGAGCTAATTGTGAATGGATTAGGAATTAGGGATTCTACTAGGTTAAGTCTCAAGAGCCGTGCCCTATCCACTATACCACCTAGCTGCCTCCCTCCAAATACATTTTTTTCTTCTAAAGACTGAGTCTCTCCATCATTCTGCTGGGATGATCATGCAGGGGCTACTTATAAGATGATGCCACACTACCAGTGAGTCAGGGACTTTGACCTAATCCATTTCTGACCTGGATGGGATGGCCGCAACTTAGACAACCTGCTGTCGCCGCTGCTCCAGAGACCTCAACATCTTGATGCAGAGTTAGTACAGGTGGCACAGTGGATAAAGCACTGGCTTTGGACTCAGCAAGACTCATCCACAACAGCTTGGAGGGATAGAGGGTGACAGTCAGGACCTAAACAGATCTTGGCAAACTAGAACATTGGACTGAATTAAACAAGATGAAATATAATGGGAATAAATGAAAGTCTTACACTTGGGTACAAAAAAGAGCACCTTCACAAGTAGAAGATGAGGGTGACCTGGTCAGACACCAACTTGTCTGAGGGGAAAAAGACAGGGATTTTTGTTGACTATAAGCTCATCAGCTATAAGCTTGCAATAGTAAGTTGATTATAAGCTCAACATGAGTCAACAACATGATTTGGTAGCCAGGAAAATTAGTGCCAGATTGGGCTGCATTTTGATATGAAGGACCAGGAAGGTGATATCCCCACTGTGCTCTGCCCTCATAACACTACATCTTGAGCCCTGCATTCCGTTTTAGGGGTGTCAGATTTTAGGAAGGCCATTGATAAACTGGGGAGTATCCAGAGAAGGCAACCAGAATGGGGAAAGGCTTCAAGAGCATCTCAGAGGAGAATCTGCTGATGGAACTGGAAATGTATAGCCTGGTACACGACACCTCATAGGATGGGAGAAGTATTTCCTAGCTCATTTCTCTGCTTTTGCTGAACAATTTCTAGCCTCCTATCAGCTATTCTCATGATTTTTCCTTTTTCTCACCCACCTGAGCCTTGGAACCTGGGAAATTTACGGTGGTTCTCCTCAAGGCTCAGTGACATATGATGGGACTGTACCCTGTGGAGCTACATACACAGAGCTGTACTTGGGGGCTTTGGGAGGACAAAGTACTGGACTCTTAGCCCTGTGGTAGTAGTGGGGGAGAGACTGCTTCAATTTAAAAGAGCATTGTGCTCACTCTTCTTTCTTCCACCTTCCCATATGCTAAGAACCTCTCCTTTCACTCAAATTCCTCTGAAGGGGTGTGGAAGGGCCCAGGACGTGATGTCTGTCAAGTATATGGTAGCTAAAAATCTAGGGCTTGGCTAGGGGGCTGAACCTGGGCCTTAAGACCCTAACCTGCCTTTGTACTTCCTTGGACATTTGTGACTGAACAGTAATCCTGAGAAGTACATTTCCATCCTTCGATACCATTTTATGAGTTTGGGAAATCTGGAGATCCTGTGTCCTTACTCAAAGTAGAAAGTGTCATTTCTATATACACTACAGCACTGCTTAGAGGAGAAGATAACCATTTACTGGAGGATGAACCCTGCCCAAGGCCTGGCTTACCAGGAGGTGTAGACTTGGAGGGAGCTATTTATATAGCGCAGAGCTGAGGGCTAGAAATGTCTATTCAGCAGTCTCACAAACTGTACCATCTTGATGTTTTAAGTATCAACTTCCCAGAAAGGTATCAGTTAGATTATTGCTGCTCCTTCTCAGATTTTCTTTTTCTTTTTTCCTTTTGGCTAAGCATTCAGGGTTAAGTGACTGTGCCCAGGGTCACACAGCTAGTAAGCTCAAAGTTTCTATTAATTGGTGCCTGTGAGTCTTGTGTGTGTTAGGTAAGCATTTCTTCTGAGTGCAGAAATAGCTACCCTATACCTGATTTACACTGTACGTCAAGCATCTTTCTATTCTTTTCCTTTGGCAAGACCCTAGACATGAGCCAAACTTAGGTTTAGATTTGTCCCAGGCCCAGCAGCAGTTGTTTATTATTACAGAAATATACAGTAGATTCAGTAAGAGGTTGGAGTTTCTAGTAGGTGAAGGCCCAAGAGCTAATTGTGAATGGATTAGGAATGAGGGATTCTACTAGGTTAAGGCTCAAGAGCTAATTCCAAATGGATACATTTGGACTAACCATATCCCTTTGAATAATGAGACAAATGAGACCAC